GCACCTTTGTTTGACCTGTGTTGGACCTGTTCCTTTAAAAGGGTAATTAGGTATAGTTGCTACAGTAGTTATTTCTCATAAATAGTAACTTAGTTAGTAACTGAGTTACATAATTATAAAAGTAACTAATTACAAGAGAAACTTGTTACTTCTAGTTTGCCAAATGACTATAGAATTAGTATAAAACATTGTACACTAATCTACACTATTTTAATGTTGTTGTAGGACATTGTGAGCTACAACGGCAGCATGTCCTTAACTACAAAACTAGATATTATTGTGTTTAATTCTGTGTTTAAGTGTTTGCAGTGGAGAAAAATTCAATTTCATTTGCTTTGACGTCATGGCTTTGTCTCCTTCTCCGAGCTCACGTAAACACCTGCGTAGCCACTAGTTTTCTTGCAGCATGAGACATCGTGAGGTGCTTCATTTTCATTTTTTATTGCCAGTAATGGTAATGCAACTAGTAACAGGGAAAACAGTAATTCAGTTGATTACTCGTTACTGAAAAAAGTATCACAATTAGTAACGCCACTTATGTATAACCCCGTTATTCCCATCACTGATCCAAAGTAACAGCAGGTTTTAAAATTGGAAATCTTACATGGTTTCAAATCCTAAATTCAGTCATGGCATTGAATGTTGCAGTGCAAATGAATATTTTCTCAGTGATTTTTTCCAATACTAATATCTAAACATTCATAAATATTGCATTTGTATGTGATGCAAATACTTTATTTGACAATAGAATGAAAATAATCTTTCTGTTAGATTTATTTGAGTGCATTGACAGATATTGGATATTGTCATAAAGTCACGTTCCAAGACTTTTTCTCTACTGCAAAAACCACAAAAAGAGCTATTTCTTTTTAAATAGTTAAAATAGCAAAATACAATTATAGGAACTGGATGGCACTGAACTAATATCGAGGTCCTGTCTAATTAAAGGTGTTAATTGCAAGAACAGTTGAAGTCAGTATTATTAGCCCCTCTTTGATTTTTTTTTCTTTTTTAAATATTTTCCAAATTATGTTTAACAGATTTAGGAAATCTTCACAGTATGTCTAATAATATTTTTTTTTCTTCTGGAAAAAGAAGTTCTGTTTTTTTTTTTTACCAGGATAAAAGCAGTTTTTATTATTTAAACACCATTTTAAGGACAAAATTATTAGCCCCTAGGCAATTTTTTATTTGATAATCTACAGAACAAACCATCCTTATCCAATAACTTGCCTAATTACACTATCCTGCCCAGTTAGCCTAATTAACCTAGTTAAGCATTTAAATGTCACTTTAAGCTGTATAGAAGTGTCTTGAAAAGTATCTAGTCAAATATCATTTACTCTCATCATAGCAAAGACAAAAGAAATCAGTTATTAGAAATGAGTTATTAAAACTATTATGCTTAGAAATGTGCTAAAAAATCTGCTCTCTGTTAAACAGAAAAAATAAACAGGGGGCTAATAATTAAGGTGGGCTAATAATTCTGACGTAAACTGTACGTATGTATAATTAATAATAATTACTACAGTAATTATATGGAAAAAGTGAAACTAAGACATACCCTAACCCTAACTCTTAAAGTAAAGTTTTACCCAAACAAGACATATGATGTTTTGCTGAAATAAATATAATATGGCCATCACAGCATGGGATGTGCAAAGAGACATATGTAAAAGACACCACTAGCGGTTGTAGTCAGATTTTGAAGCCACATGTCATTGGTGCCACAACTGGGCCTATGAAAGTGATAATCACTGTGTTCTGATGACCATATGCTGCCCGTTCATTTGTTACCTAACCACAAAACAACCTTTGTAAGGTTGTGCATGGAATCCTTTGGTATTTGACCCTAGTAAGCCAAAGGTCAGAGGTCAGTCTTTCACCTATACAACTTGGCATATGCTTAGTGAGTTGTCTATCGGAAAAGGCGTTTGAAAAGATCACAGATTTCCCTGGATACTTCTAATCTCTGTCTTGAACACACCCATATGGTTTGTGTGTATCACGTTGACACACATGCCTATTTGAGAGTGTTTGTCTGAGGTCATTATCGAGCGTGCTCAGACAGAGGTGACCGCAGGGTCTCAAAGATCAGATGACACAATAGTGACAGTTATAAGTCTGACAAAAAGTATTATTTTACCAATAAAACACAAGCGGATGCATACGCATGTGCAGAGTTGTCATCAGTTGACCTCAGTTGCTTAGCCATTTGTCAAGTCTGAATAATTCATTGGGTGTCTCTGCTTTACTAGATGAATTGATCTGAATTATTTAAAAGCTAGAGAGACAGATTGACTCCATGCACTTTGATTTATGTTTGCTATCTTTCTGTTTGCCACAAGCATTTTTTTTTATTCATACCCAACTAATGTAGTAAAAGCTGTGCAAATTTAGACGTATCACCTTAACAACAGTTTCAATATTTATTCAGTTTGACTAATGCCACTTTCTTGTCTGCATCAAGGCCAATAAGCTTTAATAAGTAAGTCTTCTGGCGTTTTATTTCCTTCCATCGCAAGTTGTTCTCTTATTTCATGAATAAAAGCATTAACCGATTATGCCACACAACATTTCTGTTATTAATTACTCAATCTCATGTTGAAATTAATATGAAATCTGAGAGTTCTCTCATTATTTGCTCCCTTTGGAGGACGAGAAAGCTCTCAGATTACATTTAAAATATTGTAATTTGTGTTCTGTAGATGAATGAAGGTCTCAAGGAATTGGAACGACATGAGTAATAATAATAGAATTTTCATTTTTGGGTGAACTAACCCTTTAATGCTTTACAAATAAAACTTTAAAAAATCTGTAAGATGCTAAGTTTCACACTATAATTCAAAAGTTTGGAGTCATTCAGGTTTTCGAAAGAAAGAAATTAAATAAGGATGTATCACATTGATGAACGGTATTTACAATACATGAATGATTTGTGTTCAGTATAAACTGTTACTTTTTACTTTCTATTCATTAAGCAGTGTGTCATGATGTCATGGTTTCTACAAAAAAAATATTAGTTTCAACACTGATAAATAATGTTTATAAAGCATTAAATTAGTATGTTAGGATTTTATTTCTGCAGGATTGTGTGATATTGATAAAAAAGTAGCATTGGTGAGAATGCCTTGGTCAATTTAAAAACTGTACATACAATAACTTAATTGTGTGTAATTATCAGTGGTGGAAAAGAGTACTGAAAAATCCTATTCAAGTAAAGGTACCATTGCTTGGGCAAACATATATAGTGCAAGTAGAGTAAAAGTATCTGTTTTAAATTTTACTCAAAGTATGAGTGAAAAGTAGCCCTTTTAAAATGGCTACTCAAGAGTAGTGAGTATTATGCTAGGAATGGATATTGCGTTTACATGTAATTTGTGTGTGTGTGTGCGTGCGTGTGTGTAAACTTATCATTCTGTAGTGCAGTTAGTGACTGTTTAAGGCCATTTCAGTCATCATACAGCAAACATTTGTCATTCTATCTGTGACATTCAGCCTAAACAGTCTCTGGATCATTGCAAGTATCTTCTTGGTCGCTTTTAATGCTTCCAATTAGTTTGCTGCATGTCTTAAGGGTGTTCAGTATAATTCCAAAACGACGATGAGGAATTAAGTTTAGGCTGGATATTTATATTAAATTTGGCATGATCCGATTGGCTAGTTTGTGATTACTGTAATTATCCGAATATTACTGTGATTAACTGTAATAAAGTAATTGTAATTGCTCAGTTGACATCTTCGTCAGACAGCTCCTTTTTATTACTATCATGAGTAAGAAAGTGCAGAAATTATTTCCAGGACTGTATACAGTATGGTATATACAGTATGGTATGTACTGCTTTGGTGTACTAAAAAAACAAGATGAAGTTCACAGAAATGGTACCTCACATGTTTCTTTGCATCTTTTTCAATTCCATGCAGGGTCATGACTGCATAACTGAATAGATTAAAGTAAAGGAAACTATTGCAACACAATTTGGGAAAAAAACTTACATTTCAGTTTTTTGATTTTCTGCAATATGTACTGAGATAAAAACTATTTCACTTGATGACTTAAATTGCTCTATTACGAAAGAATTCATATTCTTTTAGGGGCTGGGGTGATTTTGTAAACAAAGCATAAGCATAAGCATAAAACAAATTACAAGCACAGATAAATACAACAGATTTTTCAGTGAAGTCTAACAGTTTAGAAATAGAAACTGAATAATCAAATACAAAATAACCCTGCATAGACTCTTCGCTGTATTATTGAAGTACGAGTTTGATGAAGCTACAAATCTTAGTTGTGTTTTGCACCTGAATGCTTTAAACGCGGTACACAACACAGTTTAAACACAGTAAAATACCTTAATCGTATCTTTTGTGCTAAAAAGTAATTAGGATATGAAGAGTTTAGATGCAAAAACCTCTAAATGCCGTTTGATAATTTCTTCTAAAATTAGCAATTTTCTCAGACTCTTGTGTGTAGGCTCAGAAATATTTCCTTTATAGTAATGAATAACTTCTTTTCATTGCCTTTAAAGGGAAATACTTGAACATAAACAAAGGAGGCTGAGAAAAATGCTATTTTTAGGAGAAAACGTCTGATGGCATTTAGAAGTTTTTGCATCTGAACTCCTCATATTAAGTAAAGATCATCTTCCGTTAAGACCTTTTTATAATTTTTTTCCTGTAAATATCATATGTAATTTTGGATTAGTAATCCTTTGCTAAGAAGTCTGTAAACTTTACACCTGGTAAAGGATTTTCTTATTGTGTTGAATTTTTTAAATCATCAGATTATAGATTTTCAAATAGCTGTGTCTGAGCCATTGTCCTATCCTAACAAACCGCTTTCGTTTATTTATTCTGCTTTCATGGTGTTTAAACCTCAAATTCAAAAAACTAACCCTTACAGCTGGTTTCATGGTTACCTATGTTGTGCAGCTTTGGAAAGAACTGTCACAAAAATGACATTACTGTTCGTCTCTCTCTCTCTTGTTGTCTCAGCTATAGAGCACATGCACGCATGAGTCCTCTGTCACGTCTGGTGGTGTCTGTAGTTCACTGGCAGACTGTGGGCTGTGAAGGACAGGAAGATGACTTACTGCAATGCAATCGCACCGTCTGGAACGGGGGAGAGTGTGAGAATCGCCAAGCGGCTGCTGTTTCTTGCATGCCGGTGGAGAGTATGTATACTTTAACATTTACATACATTTAAACACAATCACAATCCCTAATAAAAAAGAGAAAATAACCTGTGTGTTTGTTTAGCTTCAGTGTTTGTCCCAGTGCGGCTATCTGGTGGTCCATCGGCATATGAGGGCAGAGTAGAGGTGTATCATGCAGGACAGTGGGGCACAGTTTGTGATGACCAATGGGATGATAACGACGCTGAGGTGGTCTGCAGGCAGCTGGGGTTAGGGTAAGACATTTACAGACAAACACACATATTTTTATAGTTGAACATGATATTAAACTGGGTGGCACGGTGGCTCAGTGGTTAGCACTGTCGCATCACAGCAAGAAGGTCGCTGGTTGGAGTCCTGGCTGGACCAGTTGGCATTTCTGTGTGGAGTTCTGTGCATATTCTCCCCGTGTTTACATGGGCTTCCTCCAGGTGCTCCAGTTTCCCCCACAGTCCAAAGACATGCTATAGATACTCATAATTGAATAAACTAACATGGCTGTATAGTGTTTGTGTGTGAATGTGAGAGTGTATGGGTGTTTTACAGTATTGGGTTGCAGCTGGAAGGGCATCAACTGCGTAAAACATATGCTGTATATGTTGGCTGTTCATTTCACTGTGGCGACCCCTGAGAAATAAAAAGACTAAGCGTAAGGAAAATTAATAGATGAATAATAGTAAACATATGTATTTTTTTTTTACATTTTTAAACAAATGAACTTAAATATTGTCATATTAATGAGTAGAATTTTTTAAATGCTTTGTTCATTGGTCATTGATGAAAAGAGGTCTTTTAGCATAAAAAACAATGTGTAATACCACCTCTTAATGTGCTTTGTTTATACATTTATTTTAATCTATGTCTATCATATATATTTTACAGTGATTAAAAGTTGACACCAGAGGCATGTCTAGAATAGCAGAGCTTTATGTCTTTTACATTTACATTTAGTCATTTAGCAGACGCTTTTATCCAAAGCGACTTACAAATGAGGACAAGGAAGCAATTTACACAACTAAGAGCAACAATGAATAAGTACTAAAGGCAAGTTTCAGGTCTGTAAAGTCTAAGAAGGGAAGTGTTAGTAGTTTTTTTTTTTTTTTTTTGTACAGTTAGTGTGATATTCAAAGAGGCAATTGCAGATTAGGAAGTGAAGTGGAGACTAAATAGTTGAGTTTTTAGTCGTTTCTTGAAAATAGCGAGTGACTCTGCTGTTCTGATGCAGTTAGGGAGTTCATTCCACCAACTGGGCAGATTGAGCGTGAGCGTTCGCGAAAGTGATTTTTTCCCTCTTTGGGATGGAACCACGAGGCGACGTTCATTCACAGAACGCAAGTTTCTGGAGGGCACATAGATCTGCAGAAGTGAGTGCAGATAAGAAGGTGCTAGGCCAGAAGTCACTTTGTAGGCAAACATCAGAGTTTTGAATTTGATGCGAGCAGCAACTGGCAGCCAGTGCAAACGGACTAGCAGCGGAGTGACATGTGTTCGTTTAGGTTCATTGAAGACAACTCGTGCTGCTGCATTCTGGAGCAGTTGAAGAGGCTTGATAGAGTTAGCTATCAACTCTATCTTACAACTCTATTTTAACAATCCTGGTTGACTCCATGGTTATATACCAAAAAGATCTGGTAAGGAATATTTAGAACAAGAATCATTTTATGATATATTAAAATACTTTGTTGGTGTATTCCACAAGTCGCCAATGGTCAGTCGTGGGATCGAACTGGCAACCGTCCACATGGGAGTCGGTTGCTCTACCAAGGAGGCTAAAGACCATGGCCTCTAGCGTCTGTCACTAGAGCACCTGTAGAGGTCAGAGGAGTGAGGTTTACTTGCACAACACTTACCTAGCTGGCCTCCGTTACACTCACCCCCTAAACCTCACTCCCATTCGAGACACGGCACCAATGTAACCTCGCTGGTCCAACACCACTCAACCCACTCCGAGCTGGGATTGAACCGGCAACCGTCCGCATGGGAGTCAGTTGCTTTATCAAGGAGGAGTGAGGTTTACTTGCACTGCACTTCCTTAGCTGGCCTCCGTTACATATGCATATATTCACTAATGGTCAAGATGATTTGAAGTACCCGGATGAGCCTGTGTTATTCAGTGGTTGTTATCTGGGAAAAACATAGTTTAGTGGTGATTGACCAATCAGAATCAAGTATTCCAGAGAGCCATGTAATAAGAAACACTAATTACGTTTGACTTGTATTTAATATATTTTCATGTATAAAAAAAATTACTATGATCAAACGCTAGTTATAATGTGGGTACAGAAAGGGATGTTTTGACTCTGACCCCGAAACTTTTTATTTTTCTTTATTTTTTTTATTCAAATTGGTGATAAGATTAGATCTGTTTAGGTAAGAAAATAGTAAATAATTAATTGACGGAAATATCTTGGATATCTACATCAGTTGCCATAGTAATGACAATAAGACATAAAACAGGACAAAACAATGAAATAGAGTTTTATCTTGCCATGGTACTGACATCATGTGATGATGCACAACATTCATGCATATGCTTGCTTGTCTTTCCATACATAGTGAATGCAACTTGTGAGAATAAATGAATGAATGAATGAATGAATTCAGACATGGTTGTAGACACTACTGCGCTTTGTGTGTGGCATTACATTCCTGTTGTGTCCCATATGATGAAAAATATCTTGAAATCTGATGTGACTGAATGCACTGAATTGATTTCAAACAACTGATGGATTAATTTGAATTGCATTTTTTTTAATCAAATTAGTTACATATTGTTAATTTAAAAATGTTTAATTCTACACAAATATGTAATGAATAATAATTAATTTAGGAACAATTAAATCTAAAAACAATACAAAAATATAACTAAATTAATTTATCAATGATTAATTAGGAGTTCTAGATTTAATTTAGAGTAATTTAATGTAAAAACAAATTTAATATTCAAATTATTTGTTGTTTTCAATTATTTTGTTATTATATATTCATCTTTTATTAATTAACAGCCATTCAAAAGCAAACCAGTCATATGCCAAAGAAATCTGCCTGCCTAAACAAACCCAAGGAGGCTTGACCTTGTTTCTTGGGAACAAACTGTCTATTTAGAGGAACACGGGGGCGTTTTTATAACTGAAATGTGTGAAAATAAAAGGAAGATAGAGAGGAGGTAGGAGTGATAAACAGAGATAGAGAAAGAGAGGAGAAGAGTGTCTTCCCCGCATAAAAATGTGAAATATTTTCTTGGGAGGTTCCTGACACACAAAGCCAAAGTGTTCTCAGCAAGAAAAGTGAGTGTGTTCCAGACAGACAGAAAATGGAGATAATGAGAGGATGAGAGCCAGAGGAAGACAGATCGAGAGGGCAAAGAGGCGTAAAGGGTGATTTAGAGGGAGGAGAGGAATTAGAGAGGAACGGAAAGAGGGGATGGAAAGATCTAGATGTGAATCAGGTTGATTGTTTCAAGATTTTCGGCTGTTATATGCTGACCAGTGTAACAAATGGTACCCAAAAGTGAGCTCTGTAGGTGCGTGTAAGTTTGTTTAATAATCGCTCATGTGAAGGGCTCTCCATTGAGCGGAAAAGCTCTTGTAGAATAAAACGCGTGGGTTCGTGCACATGTCAGAGACCGCAGTTCCACCTCATTTGCTTCTCAACCTTCACTGATTATTGACTGCTGAAGGTTTTGCTTGATTGCCTGTTAATCACAGAAAGAATATAAAAAAGTGTATATAATCTCACAGCTGACTCTTAATTCAGCCCACTGGGATACTTTTAACAACTTATAACACAGTCTGTTTTTCTTTTTTTTCTGTTATGCAGTCCCATTTTCCCAACCAACCAATGTGAAGGTTTCCACATGAAGAAGTGGTTCCATGCTAACATTAACTTGAGAAATGTCAAATGCTGTAATATGCATCAATTTTAGTGAGGAAAAAATTATAGCACATATAGTTCTGCCTACATGTTTAATTATTATTATTATTATTATTATTAGCCATGTAAATGTATGATAAGCAGAAAAATGCTTGGTTAAATAATCAAAATGTTTTAGGAAAAACATGACAAAAAAAAAACTATTAGAAATCTTTGGCAAGCTTTAAAAATGATGTCTCATGAAATTAACTATAAATTTACTATAAAAAATACTTAATGTGGTTTTTCAGTTTGTTCTCAAACCTGCACTGCTATAGGTAATTTGGCACATTTTTGAAATATGATCTAGCATATGAAATATGTGTACTAAAATATAGCCCCTTCCAGAAGACAGAATGCATTGTGCCCATTCATCAAATGTGCGATTTGTGCAGCTTGATTGGTCAAACATTATTTTCATACTATTGCAACAATCAAAGGTCAGATCCCAGGATTTTCTAATTTATCTGTCAAGAGCAGGGGTGCCCAAACTTTTTCTTATGAAGGGCCAAAAACCAAAAGAGCTGGACCAAAGGTAAATATACCAGAGTATTACATTAAAGCTGCTATGGTAATTTCCTAATTTATTAATATTGAAAAATAAATAGAAAAATACTTCAATTTTGTACATTTCATCATGAACTTCTTACAATAAAAACATAAACACATTTTTAACACAATTGTGTTCAATGCTGAGTCATGCTGCACCAGCCTTTGCCTTGATTTGCCCGTCAATGTCTTCTATCTTCAAGTGACAGTATTTGCATTTTTAAAGATCTTAATCAATGTCAATGTTAATTTTATCTATATAGCACTATTATACACAACCAAAGGTTGACCAATGTGCTGAACAATACAAATTACAAAGAACAAGTATAAAATTATGGCTAAAACAAACAAATCTAACTGATAGTTATTATAGCTAAAAACAAACAATTCTCACTGATAAAATGCCAAATCAAAAAGGTAAGTTTTCAACCTAGATTAAAAACAGACAGAGGTGATATAGACTTAATACAGAGGGGCAGAGCATTCCACAAAGTAGGACTAGCTACTGCGAAAGCCCGGTCACCCAAGCATTTCAGCCTCGACTTTGGAATGTATAATAGTCTCATGTTAGATGACAGAAGAGACTGACCAGGCTGATGTTCAGTCAACAGGTCTGTCAGGTAGGAAGTAGCTAGGCCATTTAGAGATTTAAAAACCAGGAAAAGAATTTTAAAAGTGGCACGATAGTGCACAGGCAACCAGTGCAGAGAGCGCAAAACTGGTGTAATGTGGTCATATTTTTTAGTGCCGGTTAAACGCCTTGCAGCAGCATTTTGAAATAGCTGTACGCGGGATAGAGTTGTCTGACTGATCCCAAAATATAGCGCATTACAGTAGTCTAATCTTAAAGAAATAAAAGCATGAATATTTTTTTCTATATTTTTCTAGATAAAATAGGTTTGACTGTTTTTAAAAGTCAAAGCTGAAAAAAGCAAGATTTGACCACTGCGTTAATCTGTTTATCAAATCTTAAGCCATCAGCAAATATAACACTCAGATTTTTTACACAAGGCATCATGGAATCATGCACAACATTTAATTAAAACATTTAATTTCATTTGCCTTTTAACTTCATTTGACTTTTAATTTCATTTGACTTTTTTTGTTGCTCAACAATCAAACAAGCAAGCAAACAAACAAAAGTTTATGGTAAATTAGAAATGATGATCTCTGTTGAAGGCATTTGCTCCAACCTTAATTCTAAATTTCTTCTCAGATGGGATGACGGGCCAAATCAAAGGTTACCATGCGCCAACTTTGACCTGCGGGCCTTCCTTTGGGCATCTCTGGTCAAGAATTTAAATGTAAATACTGGAAATAAGGAAAATAGTGGGTGCATTCATTTAGTGGGATTCATTTCATGAAAGCTTGCATCATGACAATGCCATTTGTCATTGTTATGCCCACTAGAGGGCACATAACTTTAAATAGTAACTGCGTTTTCAGAAAACAAAAGGACTGTTTTAACTGCTGTCACTCGGCCAAATAATGACAGTGAAAGTTTTTGTTCAAATGTAAATAAAAGCTGAGAAATATTTTTTTCACAATGATGCCTCTTGTACATCGTCTTATCTTTTGGGAGATGTCTGTGTCATTTCCGGTCAAAAAAGAATTAGCTGTTTGAATAAAAGTAATATTAGTAATATATCATATTTTTTTATGTTGATTTACGATATGCTACAAATTAGGGATGACAAAATATTATTACAGTTTTTTCAGTTATTTGGTACATTTCTCAAATAAGAATTGAAATTTGCAAAACAGTAAGTGCATTGCTCAAAACAGCGCGTACAAATAACAAAACAGCATGGGTTACCTGCAAAAGCCAGTCTCTTGCTCAAAATCCTTAGTAACTAAATTTCTGTGTCAATGAATGTGTCAGTGTAGTCAGAATGACAAGTCCTGAGGTGTACTGATAAGACAGTCAAATTACTTACTCATGTTTTTAATATAACAGTGTATTCTGGAGGAATGTTCTGATGTAAACTATGGCTATTTCATTTTTTATTTTTTTGCAATTTGTACTGTAATTTTTGTTGACAGAACTTGTTATTGTGATACAGAAAGGTAAAAACAGCACTGCATAGCAGAAAGGAAAAAAACAAAACAAAAGTACAAATGTGAACATATATAATCTCCTTTCAGATGTTTTTGTTAGAAAAAGTCAAGATTCTTCTGGGAGAATGTCACCAAATGAAGACAGTTTTAAAAAAGAAGTCTAATGAAAATGTATAGAAAAAAATGCATTATGACTTATTACAGTTTTTTTTGTTTGCTTTGATGCAGCCATCAACTGAAACTCCACATTTTCAAACAGTTAACACACAGGCCTAAACGGCGACACTCATGGTCAAAATTAAACATTTTGCTTGCAAAATGCACAAATCACGTCAAAACAATTAAAATATGCAACAAAAGCTAGTTTTACCTTTAAACAAAACAACTTGCAAACAAGTATATGAGCTCTTTCAATTAGAAAAGCAGAATTTCAATTCTAGCACAGAACAACACAGACCTTCCACCATTTTTAATGTTTGCAGACTGATTGCTAAGTGAAGATTTGTGTGAAGGAGTGTCAAACCGGTGCTTCAGTGAATTCATACTGATCTTGGTAGTTTCTAATGGTTAGGAATAGATGGTTTCTGTGTGGTTATTGTAGCTAAAACAATGGAGTTTGGACTGCTTGAATGACATCCGTGTTAACTGTTTTGAAAAATGATGGGGGTTTATGGGGGTTTATTTACAAATATGTAAACCCTATGAGAAAGGGTTTACATATTTGCAAGACCAGTCTTTTGCTCTGCGGGGAAATTGATCATGAAATTGAAGTGGAACCTAGTTTCTTTAACCAGGTCAAAGCAAACAAGAAAAACTGTATGCCTATAACAATGGATTTAATGTTGTGGGCAGTGAGACTATTCAACAGAGACAGAATATAAGAGACTATTCAACAGAGAGGGAATATCAGAGAATAATGCATAATCATCTGCATGGATGCATGCAAGCATTTGCAACTTGTTCAAAGGAATGAGAAAATGCTTTTCTAATGTGCAAAAGTGATACAACGACTTAAAGACTGAACAGGTAGTTTTGAAAAGTACAATTCTGATCTGAGAAATGGACCAAAGCATCTTAGAAAAAAAAAGCGTAAAACAGTTTGACATTATTTAATGCTTGGATAGGCTATAGCCTGAATTTATTTATTTTCCATGAGTAGAATCTCATTTAGCTCATTTAAAATGATAATATGCAACATTATGCTGGAATCTTCTAGAGGAGCTTAGCAGGAAGTCTTTACAGCTTTTCACACTGACCTGCTGAGAGACAAGCAACTCCCCCTGACTTCATAATGACTAAATAAATGAAGCATAAGACTGTAAATCAGTTGGAAAAATCATCTAGTGGGATGGCAGCTTTAACCTTTAGCTGAATTATTTCATTGTTTTGCATTCTTTGAGGAATATCAGTGATTTGAATTTCATAATGAGCGTGCTGGTGTTTTGTATTATTTTGTGATTTATGTGTACAGTGGCATTGCGAAGGCTTGGGTGGGAGCGTATTTCGGCGCAGGCTCTGGGCGTGTGTTTTTGGATGAGGTGAGCTGCACCGGAAATGAGCTTTCAATAGAGCAGTGTCCAAAAACTGCCTGGGGGGAGCATAACTGTGACCACACAGAGGATGCTGGAGTGTCCTGTGTACCACTTACAGGTATAAACACACTTCTGGATCATTATATGATTTACAGTTGGAGCACCCTGAATTATTAGCCCCCCTGTTTATTTTTTTCCCCAATTTCTGTTTAACGGAGAGCAGATTTTTTCAATACATTTCTAAACATAATAGTTTTAAAACCTCCTTTCTTTGAAATGATGGCAGTAGATAACATACATAATAAAAGACACTTCTATACAGCTTAAAGTGACATTTAAAGGCTTAACTAGGTTAATTAGGTTAACTAGGCAGGTTAGGGTAATTAGACAAGTTATTGTATAGCGATGGTTTGTTCTGTAGACTATCGAAAAGATATAAAGCTTAAAGGGGATAATAATTTTGTCCCTAAAATGGTGTTTAAAAAATCTAAAACTGCTTTTAATCTAGCCGAACTAAAACAAATAAGACTTTCTCCAGAAGAAAAAATATTATTAGAATTAAAATATTACAAGACATGCTGTGAAAATTTGCTCTGTTAAGCAATATTTGGAAAATATTTAAAAAAGAAAAAAAAAATTAAAGGCAGACTTATTATTCTGACAGTAAATGTATGTGTAGGTTTAGGAGCAGAGGGAAATTTGTTCAATTAAAAAAATGTCCAATTCCATTCTGTTCTGTTAATGAAAACACTAACAGTGTTTGTTGACGTGCTTTTTGCTGACATGATGCTGTATAGTTTGGAAGAATTAACGCTTTATTAGGTAATGCTTTATACTTAAGTGTGCTTAAGTATTATTTGTTTTAATGTACTTAATATTAAGTATATTGTTTTAAGGACTTGAGTAGAAGCCATTTCACAATCAGATTTATTGTCATATAGTATATTGTGATATATTTCTAAATACACCGACAAGCACTTATAGTAAAGTGAAATACATCTAAATGTCAATATCATAACTTTTTAAAAAATATTTTTAATAAGTTTCTTAAGTTAAAAATGATGTGAAAATGGTACACACAAAGAAAAGAAAAATGAAACAAATGTGTACAGTATACACATATATATCTATATGGAGAAGTTAATATTTTCTGTTCTCATTCTTTCTGAAACATAGTTTTTTTTACGTGTGGGTCATTTTCAAAACAATCTGCAGTTAAATATCTTTAAACTAATATTTTATTCTCATGTGATCCAGCATGTTATTGAAAAAAAAAAAAAAACTGTTCACTTGTTTCTGATGTTGTTCCTGACTGTTAGAACCTGACATGTTAACTCAAAACATCTTTTTTCTCTTCAATTTGGTCTGTTTATCAGCAGACATAAGTGCACAGAGAACATCAGAAACTGATTGTGCATTTGTATATGATATTTACTGTCGATAGACCCTGTTCTATTTAGTTTTTAACGCAACACGATCGCATGTGAAGTTCATGTCATGTATAGGCAAGTGACTGAATGGCAGTGTTTAAATGACCTCTGTAGTCCGCTGATGTATACCATGTGTAAACAGATTTCGTTTCTCTTCCTCAGACGGTGCAGTGCGTCTGGTTGGGGGTGTAAAGGGTTATGAAGGGAGACTGGAGGTCCATTACAGAGGACAGTGGGGGACTGTGTGTGATGATGGCTGGACACAGACTAACACACAGGTCGTCTGCAGGCAGCTGGGTTTCAGGTAATGCACAGACAAAAAAAATCTCTTGGATTGCTTTGCTTTTAATACTTCTGAATAAGGTCAGAAACAAACAGTAGGAAAAAAACTTAGTTTTATTCAATTCTTGTTTATTTCTAAAGCGCCTTTACAATGTAGATTGTGTCAAAGTAGCTTAACATAAAGGTTCTAATAAAGTAAAACTGTGTTAGTCCAGTTTTCAGAGTTGAAGCTCAGTTAAGTTCAGTTCAGTGTGGTTTCATTTTTACTGCTGAAAATTCAAACACTGAAGAGCAAATCTATCGATGTGCAGCTCCACAAGTCCCAACCAAGCAAGCCAGTGGCGACAGTGGCGAGGAGCAGACTTGACCAATTGACAAAAGTGAAGGAAAAAAACCTCGAGAGAAGCCAGGCTCAGTTGGGCATGACCATTTCTCCTATGGCCAAACTTCCTGTGCAGACTTTGAGAAACTAATTAATAAAACTTAATTAATGAACAATAATATTTGGTATAATCAACTAAATTTTGCTGTTCACTCATTAGATGAGCATCCATTTATGTTACTGGAGTATCAGATCTTTTAAGCTTTTGTTTTGTTTTTGAGCCATTTTCATTAATGAAATTAACTTACCTTTTTACAATGTGGACACAAGAATACACATTTTTCAACAGTTTGAAACTCTAATCTGTAGATTAATTTTCAATAGATCATGTGCTTATTATTGGTTTTGTTAATTGTGTTGTGTTGATACAGGTCAGGGGAGAGTGTATCAGCAGGGCGGTTTGGGATAGCGGCAGGTCCTGTTCTTCTGGATGATGTGCGCTGTACTGGAAAAGAGCCCACGGTCACACACTGCAGCCGGAGGGGTTGGTTTAAACATGACTGCACTCACAGACAGGATGTAGCCATTGTGTGCAGCCCCCAATGCTCCAGACATGGAGTACCCAACAGTAAGAGCTCTGACACAAACACAAACATACACACTTTAACAAAGCCTTACACATTCCCCCCTTAGAGAAACAGAAACAATCCAAACACTGAGGGAAACATTGTGCATCTCACAGCCATAAATCTGACAAGAATGACCTATGACCAGATACTGTTTAAAATTTGTGGAAAATGATTCTTTCTTTTGTTTTAACTCTTAAAACATGTTGATTCTGATCTTTACATCTAAAGAGTTTTATCCGACTAGGTAAAGATAATATATTTGATATAACTATGACATTAAATAGTTATTATAGGAACAGAGTTGACATTAGACTTACTTGTATTTCGGTATTTGATATTATTATAAGAACTAAAACTAACATTTAAAAGAGTTAATATAACAGCTTTGAGAATGTTATTTAGGTAATTTGATTTCAATTATCATGAAAATGAATGTTTCAGTTTTTAAAATCTTATTTCGATGGGCATCATCAGTATATTTATGACATATAACAATGTAATAAACATATTGATGTACAGTATTACCACTGAAAGTCTTAATTAGTTACAGTCACACTAACATACAATGTCAATTCATATATATAATGATGTAAAGGAATTGGCAAATTTGTCAGGTTGAATAATACTTAATATGTTTTTTTTTACTTGAGAATATAATAAAAATATTTTATTTAACTATACAGAATCTCACTTGCAATATAGGCTCATACTGAAAACATAGCCCTATAAACATTTTTGTAGATCGCAAATTATGTAGCCAGAAGTATAAATGGCTGCATTTCGTCTTTAAAATGAAGGCTACGAGGTGGTACGATGCCATTCCTTTTCGCACTAGCAGCTGACTGATAGTCCCTTAACTCCATATGGACGACTTTTCCTCTGTTACAATTTTGTCCAGTGGCTTGCTATGTATGTCGGCAGGCTTGAGGCGCAGAGAGTAGTTTGAAGGGGTTCCAGTCTAGCGAAGAACGGTTCCAGAAAGTGGTTAAGACAAAAATAGAAGCCAAAAAGTAAAATAAACAAGGAAATAACAGGGTGAGAATTAGGTAAAATCTGAAAACATGGTAAAAATTAGGCGAGGGCTTTTCTTTTTCTAGATTGCTTTTGGATTTAAGGAAGTGGGTGAGTGCTGGTCAGTTGGTGATTTTTAAAACACTATTGGTTGGGTTTAGGGAAGTAGGAGGGTGGTTCAGTCGATCGGTCAGTCAGTCAGTCTTTCAGTTAGTCAGTCGACAGCGGCCTCTGGTGCATTTACTTGAGAAGAGCAGGCGTGAATGGCACTCGCGAGACAAATTTAAGATCTCAAAAAGCGTACATAGCGGGCTCTGGTATATGTGCGTAAACAAAAACAACAAAAAATGTACGTCCTGGGACGTATTTGGCACTCTCCAGAAATGTATATAGGGCTACATTTTCAGAATGAGTCTGGGTTGCTCATTGGAAGTAGTAGGTCATCTGGATACTTCTCACCTACTATTTTTCAATTACTGTGAATTCAGACATTCCAATTGGCTCACATGCTGCTTTTCACATATTATATAGTAGGGAAGTATGTGATTTCAGACAGACCACATGTGTTTCAGATACATGAGCTAATATACTTTTCTATGCGGACTTATGAGGAGTTATGATTATCATAATTGGTTGCCGTGGTGATGTCTCCACATCTGTAAACCAGGTGGCAGAATGGATAGTGTATTCACATCTTTTACACAGTCATAAAACCTGAATATCCATCCCTGAGAAGGTCTGTCTGTAAGCTGAATGTTACATTACACACACTACTGCATATATATGTAAGCAAAATCCACACAGAGAGAAATGATCTGACAGATTCTTAGTAGAAAGAATTCTCGGTAAGCTCATTAAGAGCTTTGGTTCAGCAAGATGTATTAACCATCTCAAGACATGCGACAGACCAGTTCTGCTCATGGTCAGAGGGCATGAAGTCAGACGTTTAACAAGTACAGCTGCCATTAAACTTATCATGCCTGACTCCTGCTAAGCTTTATAAAGAGCTGATGATTTTACCTGACCCAGACAGACACACAATTACACACAGTACATATGGAAAAAACTCCTATACATCCAGACGACCATATTCCCTTCATTTTCATGATTTCAGCTCTGAACTAGACTGTTTAAATGAAATTATGTTTAGGCCAAATCCCAGCTTCACTCCTTAGCCCTTCCCCTTACCCCTAGCTCTTGTTTTGCAAGTTCACGTGAAAGGGTAAGGGTGTCCCAATTCTCTTTAGCTTGAAGGCGTAAGGGGAAACACCAGCTATATAGCTTTACACCAGCAGAATACACCAGCTACAGCGGCAGCACAAATTAGTATTTTTTGTCATTAATTTGAATTTTTACAACAAACAAGCTTATGTTTTAATATATTCATAACCACGTTTGTGTTTTACTGTGATGCTTTAAAAAACACGCTAAAATAAAAACCACAAAATATTTGTAATCCATAATAATAACTCCTGTACAGCAGTCCCACAACATTCTGTCTCTTGATGACACTCGAATACCCATCCTCACCATCGTCTGATCTCATATGAAGCAAGAGATCGCGATGACACATGACGTGTGCAGGTGTTGTAGTGCTGTCCCATTTTGTAGGCGTAAATTTTGAAGCCCTTCTGCTTCACAATCTGTTTCAAGGGCCAAGGAGAAGCGGAAGGAAAAGGGGTAAGAGTACAAAACTAGAATTGGGATTGGGCCTTAACATAATATAAATATAAGCAATTAAAATGAAACAATGCCATTAAGTAAAAACATTTTAAAAATATAATACTGTAATACTGTAATAATAATGTAAATGTGTACATTTTGTAAGTAAATTCATGAAATTTAGAAAATATTAATACAGTGCATAATGTAGAAGTAATAGATATTTTAGTTTTATATTTTTTGTTTTAGGGTCCTATCATACACCAGCTCAATAAGGCGCAAGACGTGTTTGGAGCGATTTGTTGCTATTTTCAGATCAGCGAAACCCTAATTTTCACATTTTGCGCCACATTGTTTAAAGGAGTGGTCCACTACGATATCATATTTTAAACTTTAGCTAATGTGTAATGTAGTTGTGTAAACATAAACAACATCTCTGAATGTAAAAAGCTCAAAGTTCAATGCAAAGGGAGACCTTGGTTATACAGAGTTAGCTTAGCAAAGCCTACAATGAACGAATTTTGGGGACTACAAAATATACAGGCCCTTGTGAGATCACAAAGGTTCTTTTACTGCGCACATACACTGCGCAGCTAAGGGCAATGGCCAGAGGCGATGTAACATTATAGCAGAGATAGAGGTAAAATGCGTCCAAACACTGCTGTTTCCACAGAGCTTCGTCTGTTTCTGTATTTGGGCTTCTAAAGGACACGACACAAAGACAGAAGTGCTTACAGTTTATTATTAATTATGTTCCAGAGAATTATAAAATACATAGGAAGCATGATTTGACAAAACAGCTCCAGAATCTCTCCCAGTTCAGTGCTGGATTTGGTTAAAATCTCCTCAAAGCAGAAGCTGTGAACTACAACCTGTAAGTGTTTTTATTTGTTAAAATTGATCATGACATGTACAGTGTCTAGCGTTAACGTTATGCTTCAGCAAAGATGTAAACAACAGGACACGCTGTTTTGCAACGCAAACGATTTAGCTACAAATTCATATTTATCAGTCAAACTGGTGTAAACACACACACACATTTCCCCAGCACATGCATCATCTCTCTATGTGTGTGCGCGACTGCATTGATTCTCTTTAGGCAGTTGTTCCATGCATTTTACATCTCAGATAATGAAGTCGCAAAAGATATGTGAATGATTCATATTACTTACACCTGCATATTCCGGATATATATGAAAGACGTCGTGTAACATCGCGTCAAGTTAAAAAAAAAATACAGGAGAGCTCACCTAACTCGTGTAGCAGCAGAAAAATAAATCAAGGCTCAAACAGGTCACATCCCACATCTTGGGCTTTATTCTGTCACGATATATTACAGAAAATAACTTAATCCGAGCATCAGAGAAAAAGAAAAAGAAATTCCTGCGTATATGCGCTTGTTACAGAAAGTTTACACATTCACACACAAACATAGACACACACTGGGGATCTCTCTTAAAGGAGCCGCACCCCATTTTTACACGGTACAGACACATGTCAGATTTTATTTTAGAGAGCAGGCAGGAGGTTGTCTGACTGTTTACACAGCAGAAAAGCTTGTGCTTGTACGGGCGTGACGTGGAGCCGATCCACGAATCGCAGCACATTATGACGATGACCAATCAGAGTCACTTGAAGGCGGGCCTTTCAGAGGAACTAGGAAATATATTAGTCGTTTTCATGTCAGCAGAGTAGCTGTAAATAATCAAAGTGAGATATATGAAAAAATACCATGATTTCCTTCAAGTGAAACATGAGCACACATTGCTTTGCATCTTATAAACACAACCAAGTCTTAAAATTACATTCTGCTACACCCCTAAAAAGGTCTAAAAAGGAGGTGTGTTAAGCCGCATTGTTGCCGTGTTGCTTTATTGAGGAACTGAAATAGACCAAGCCATTAACCAACTAAAACTTTAGCTGCGTCCCAAATTGCATACTTGTGCACTGTTCTTAGCCATTTTTTAGTTTAAATAGTGTGTAAGTATTGGGGTAATACTGAAACCTCTAAAAATATGAAGTTCACTTTATTTACCTGGATGATGCACAAATGTGTAATGATGGACACTTCACGCACTCATGTAGCAGAAGGGGCAGAGCTTTCGGATAACTTTATTTATTTTGGAGGGTGAAAGCAAAATTCTCCTACGAGAGTGATTATAGCACCACCCGATGGTGAATGCGGTTACACTCATGGCAGGTATTATTTGATAGTTTGGTCATTTATTTCACTGATTTGGCAACCGTCAAACGTCATCAGGGAAATGGTTTGAATTTCCGCTTAGTAAAAAACATTTGTGCTCCATTTGGGATGACACTACATACA